CAGAACATTGTTGCATTGTCGTCAACGGAAGCTGAGTATGTTGCTGCGACGAACTCGCTAAAGGATGTCATTTGGCTTCGTAGCCTCATTGGTGAAATTCGCGCGGTGCGACAACCAAGGCACTATCACCCTCACCCAGAACAACAAATTCCATCTACACATGAAACACATTGATATCCGCTATCACTTTATTCGAGAAGCTGTCAGTGATGGAAAGGTTGTGCTTGTATACTGCCCAACAAGCGCAAATGTCGCGGACATTTTCACGAAGGCACTCACTCGTTTGAAGGTTCAGAAGTTTGTTGATATGCTTGGACTATGCTAGACTTGAAGGGGAGTGTTGGATATTTTGATGTAATCTGCAAGTCTCATTAGTAATTCATTCTCTTATCTTGCTGCGCACATGTACTATAACATGCTTACTATTTACATCATCGCTAACACTGGACTCGTATATAGTCCTCGCACCCGCGTTGTTCCACCTCAGTCTATTCCCATAAGACTGAGGTGAGATCCCTTCATTCGTCGTCAGTACTTAACACTCACTAACACTTACCGTAGCCTCTTGTTTGCCTTCGCAGGTACTTGCAATAATATGAGTCTATTCCCATAAGACTGAGCCTCTTGTTTGCCTTCGCAGCACACCGTCTCTCATTACTCGCTTCAACGTTGACAGCAAAATTTCCATTACCTTCAACTCCTGGACATCTGAACCTGGTGTCCCTTTCCATTTTCTCTTGGTCACTGCACACTATTGACTCCCCAGATGGTAAGCCTCAGGAGTGGGAGTTGAAGAGCGAGCAGCTCACATTCACCATCATCAATGGCAACCATAGCGGTAGAAATATCGGACAGATTTTAATTGAAACTATTGACAACTATGACTTTTGCACCAAAGTCAGATGGTTCATGGCCGACAATGCCACCAACAACAACACCATGATTCAGGCTGTCACATTCGCTATTGACCCTTCCAGTAAGGACTGGATTGCAGGCAAGCACCGTGTGTGGTAAGTAGTTTATTTAATATGTCATTATATATCTGCTAACATCTATTTAGTTGTATGGAGCATGCTCTACATCTGGCAGCAAAACACTTCATTGAAGATGTTGCCCCTACCCCTGCAAGTGTTCTCATCAGGAATGAGGCCAACGAAGATAACGACAATGAAGTGACTGACTTCAATGTTGCTGATACTGTGGGCAAAGTGCTTGCACTTGTTGTGCAGGTAAGTTTGTACCTTGGTTGATTAGCCTTGCTTTGACAAACTGTTTTTTTAGGTACGAAAATCCCCCCAAGCCCACACATTCTTCCACAAGTGTTGTGCTGAGGTCAATGAACCCAACCTCGAGCTTTTGAAATGGATTTGCACTCGATGGGCCTCACTTTTTGCCATGTTGGAGCGCACACTCAAGTTGCATAAAGTAAGTTGTTACTGCTACTTTCCCTACAATACTAACTCTGTTGGCAGGGGGTCAATAGGTTCATCCAGCTCACGGATGATAGTGACGAAGTCCCAAACTTGCAGGGCAAAACTTATGGAGCATTCAAGCTCTCAGCTGAAGAATGGAAGAAGCTGGAATTGATGCATGACATGCTCCAGGAGCTGGCAAACGCTCAACAGTCATTCTCTGCGACTCGTGAACCTACTGTATGGTGCGCAATTCCTGTGCTCGAATTTCTTCAACAAACATGGCAGAACATGGCCGGGTCTTTGAAGTTTGACAATTTTTCAACAGCCATCATCTCTGGCATCAACAATCTTCGCAAATGGTACCACAAAATTAATGAAACCGACATTTATTTTATTTGCCTTGGTATGTATTGTGTTTAATATAATGCCCTATCTAATGTACTACCTTGTATATAGCACTCGACCCCAACTACAAGGTTGCATATGCAAAGAGTAAGTGGGAGCCATGTGACTTTGATAAGGGTATGAGACGCCTGCAGAATGTTTTCGACACATACTATCATCATGGTTCCCTACCCAATGCAGAGCCTGTTGTTGCGGCTCCTTCCTCACTTGCACGCCAAGGCTCGTATGGCCACAGTTGGATGTGCGACACTGTCAAAGCTTGTGTTGTGGGTGATACTGCAAGCCAAAGGCCTCGTCAAGAACTCGAAGATTATTTGGCATCCCTGCTCAAGGATATTGAGAATATAGTGGCTTGGTGGGGTGTGAGTTAATTCTTTTTGAATCATTATTGCTTATTGACCTATATACTTTTAGCATCATTCTATTCAATATCCCACCATTTCTCACATCACAGAGGACTATCTAGCTATTCAAGGCTCTGCTGTGGCATCTGAATGAGCTTTTTCAAGCGGTGGCATTACTGGGACCACACGCCGCAATTGTTTGTTGCCAACAACGTTTGAGGCACTTCAGTTGTTGAAGAGCGGATATCACCAAGGCCATATATCTGCAACGGCTCAAGCAGAGTTTGCCGCTGCTTGTAAATACCCTGTTGTGGATATGGTATAGTTACTATACTCATTACGTTGGATTTTTCATGTATTTCTTGTGATTGTTTTGGAATTTATGCATAGCATTTGGATGTCTGAACATGTTCTGAACTCAAACTGAATGCTTGTGAACACGTTTGCAAGCATTCAGTCCAACGTTCGGCCTTGTTGCTTGAACCTGACCAATAGTCCGGTTTGGGGTTCACATTTAGAGGCCCAAGAACTGGACTGAACTGGACTCTGGCAGCACTAGATGGCCAGCCTGTTTTGGAAGGCTTATTAGGCCTGTAGTATTTCACTCAATTCGACACCACATGTGACATGTGACACAATATATCATTTCATCACTTCGACATTTAATAGTAGCACTCAGAGTAACTTTCATAACGCTTGGCTAAGTTCACAAAACTCAGGTAGAGTCGGACAAAACTCGGGTAGAGTCAGACAAAACTCAGGTAGAGTCAGACAAAACTCGGGTAAGGCTGAGAGAAATACATCTGAGTAATACTTGGCACACATCGGCACGATGTCAGGCTTTCAAATGACACTTAGGATTTTTGAAGAATGCATCATATATTGGTAGAGTAAAATATGAAACTGTATCATGTAATGGGTAGCTATATAGTAGATCCCTCAATGAAATATAACTGATGAAAATCAATAAAATTTTATCAGAAAAAAAGACAAAGTCCCTGTGATATGGCAAGTGCCAGAGGAAACTGAGTGCTGGGGGGAGGGGAGAGGAGGCTAAGCACCAGAAGAGGATGATGAAGGACCCTGACAAAGCTAGGATATACAATCCCTGTGCAGTGAAGATATTGCAGGGAATGGTGGCAAAAAAGCAGGCAAGATCATGCCAAGGTATCGAACATTCCATTATAGAAAGTGTCTCTGTGTGTTTTGTGATGGTAGCCAAGAAGGTGAGCATGACTGAGAGGTTGAGAGAGGTGCAATATAAGTGGTGGGGGATGCACAATATAAGTGGCGGGGAGGGTAGGATGAGGATATAAGCAGCGGGGAAATTTCAAGTCCAAGCCAGATGTGGAAGGTGTACTTAGAGATGCAGCCATGGGAGACGACAGCAGGATACATGATAGAGGCAGTGGAGTTGCCTTTGGGACCAAACATTGAGGGGATGTGCATAGGGGCAGGGACTGCAGGGTGCGAGTGCCAAGAGAACAGGCAGGATGCTCCACTGTAAGAATGTAGAAAAATGATAAAAAAAATTAGAACATACCTTGAGTTCCAGTGTCACCAGCATTGGTCCTTTCTTGTGGCCCAAGCCCAAAGGGTTGGGTTGGCCCATGGCTTGAAACCAGGCTGGAACATCTCTAGCTAGAATAGAACTAGAAGAGTAAAAGTTAGTGAATGAGCCTGAAGGAATGAGAAACTTACTTTGTGTGCATGGCCATGGGCCTAGGGCGCAAAGTTCACCTGAGTGCTAAGGTGCAGATAATGACAACAACAACAACGACACCAACGAGATGAGACATTGGAATATGCTGAAAATTGAAACTCCGCCACAAATCATGTCACATATGCAACAAAGACAGGAGGTTTTGATCCCCTGAGCCCCACCATGCCCCATCCATCCAGGCATGCACAAATTCTGCATGACATTGACCAGACTGCACTTGCTGTAGCTATGTTGCAGTACTAACATGCCATAGATGATGATGAGTCTATGAACTCTGACTCAGACTCAAGCATTGCATCTTTAGACCTCACCCGTAACTCAGACCTTGGTATTTTCATGAACATTGTGATCACTCCTCCTTCACCTCTTTCTCCTGTCTTGTCCACCTATACTGGGTCTTCTGACTCCGACTTATCTGATGACCATGATCATCTTACTGCCCATTAAGATTGTGTTCAAGATGCCATTGCAACTTTGTGGGATGAGGTTGAGAAGGCTGCTGATTTTCTGACCAGCTCAGCTCCAACCAAGTTGTTGATGCGCCTGCACTGCAGGATGAACTGGCTTGGGACAGCTGTATAGCCAGACATTTTTGAGTCTTCAGGACTCATTGTCTACGAAGTCGAATGCTTCCCTTTCAAGAACAAGCATTTGTGATGCGTGAAGGATGTGGATTGATTGCCGATGGCCAAGCCTGAAACTATCAACCACTCGAGGATCCGCTGCGACTGCACTAGTCTCTTGGGTGTGCCGGTCACTGGTAGTCCTCATCGAAGACTGTGATCTTTGTTTTTCGAAATGAGGAGAAGCTAGGCTGAAATGTGCAAGAACGGGAAACAAGGAGGAGACAATCTGTCCTGTCCGAGGAACCATGAAGCAAGTACTCTAGGCGCAGTACTCCATAGGCCCAATGAACCCATCCCATGAGCCCCGCAACTTCATCTTCTTGTTCATTTTGGTGAACATTGCCCTCACTTATTCCACCATAAATTACATGTCAATCCAGAAATATTTGATGACATTCTGGATCAAATCTCTGACCACCCCATTTTCATAACAATTCAAACAACCTCCAGCTTCCTGTCTCCATTCAACTCACAATTTTTCTTAACCATGCTGGCCACTATGGTAATTCCATCACTCTCGAGGATGCAGCTCAATGGGTGGGTGTCAGTGTTGGTTCAATTGTTAATTGCACTAATTGTGTAATGGTTGCATTGCTTGATCAGCATGATGCATTCATAGGCTTCCCTTCACCTGACTCACAAGACTTTGAGTGTACTCAAAGGTATACTGCATGGGTAACCACCTGCCCTGAGTGGTAAAATGGTACATTAGCTGTTGATGGGACAACAATTGATCTGTATGCAACACCTGGTTTTTATCACCAGGTTTTTTATGATAGGAAATCAAAATATTCCCTTGGCTGTCAAGTAAGTTTACTTTATTTTATTTTCCTGTGGTTAGAAATTAAAATAAATTCCAGGCAGTTATTATGCCCCACAATCTTCTGATTGTCCACTATTCTCTTGGTCATCCTGGAAGTGTCCATGATGCATATGCCTTTAGGTCCACTCATCTCTATCATGAACATGACACACTTCTTCCAGCTGGTCACTGGATTTGGGTAGACAGTGCTTATCCACTGAACACCTGGTGTATTCCCCCTTTTAAGAAACCCCGCAATGGACAACTGACAACTAATCAGAGGACCTTCAATTTTTACCTTTCATCTGTATATTTTTTATCTCCTATTTTTCCTTATTTAAATTATATAGGTCTGTGTCCGTGTTGAACATGCATTTGCTGCATTGAAAGGGCAGTTTCAATCTCTCAAGGACCTTCAACAGAACATCAATTCAGCAGATGACCTTCGAGCTGCTGTCCATTGGATCCAGTATTGTCTCATACTTCACAACATGATCATTCAGTTTGAAGAACAACGTGGTCTTAAAGAGGACAAGGGCACAATGGATTGGGCCCATGAAGAGGGAAATAATATTCCTATAGGGGAAGGTGAGGGGCCTGATGGCAATGAGCAAATTGGTGATAGATTGTATGAGGGAACTCCAGGTCATGCTCTTTGTGAAAGGTTGATAGATGAACTTTTTGATAGTTCACACTCAAGGGCACAACGTAGGCAAGGATAGCAATCTTAGTTTAGAACATGTTGTAGGATTGGGAAAAAAATAGTTCATATATTCAAAGCACATTCAACATGCTATAGGATTGCAAAACAAACAGTCCATTTATTCAAAACATATCACCATACCATAAGGGCTTCACAAGAGAACATAGAGAGCATAGAGGTACACAAACATAGCGCAAATGATGCATGATAAGTAGGTAACAACAGATAGAAGTACAAGCACTACACAACATGCAAACCATCAAGACCCTTGAGTGTTAGTGAGATGGCAATATTCAATTTTGAGATGGAGGGCAGCTGCCTCCTCAGCATGTGCATGTGCTACTGAGTCATGCATCCTCATCTCAGCTTCATGCAGACAGATATCTACTTCCTTCACCTGTTGCGCATGTTCATACGCATGTTCCTCGCTGAGGAAACAATGTTCTTCCAACTGATGAGTGAAATTATATTTGGCCATGTAGTGTTCATTCTTGAGCTCCTCATGAGTGATTCTGTCTGACTGTGCAGTCTCAATCCCATCTTTCAGCACCTCCACTTGGCTTTGGAGGTCTGAGCACTGCTTCTTCCCTTGCCAGCCTTTGCCCTTTGAGGAGGATGGGATGGCCTGCGACATTTGAGATGTTGACATGGGGGAAGATGTTGTTGATAAAGGTTTGGATTACAAGGAGCCTGAGGAGCCACTGGAGCTGTGTTTGATCGACCCTGAGCTTGTGCGTCTCCCCACAAAAGATGAGTGACTGTTGTAGTGATTGTTTGAGACTTGGCGGCAAGCATGAATTTTGATCAAGGTGGGGGAGATGGGGATGATGGAGGGAGTGGGCATTTCGAGGGAGCTCAGGACCTAGGTGGACTATTAAGGATGGTGACATCAGGGTCATCCCATCCATAATCCATTGCATGATTGCCGTTGTCTTGAAGACCTCTGTCATCATCATTTTGGATGGGGGACATATTAGAGGGAGTGCGGTAATGGTAGGGCTGCGCTCTGATGTGCTGCTGAAATACGGGAGAGGGATCAGGACCAGATAACTGACCGTAAGGGCACTGAGCACCAGCAAAATGGCCAGCACCCTCATATGGAGGGTGCACCGAATGGCCAGCACCCTCGTATGGAGGGTGGACTGAATAATCAGCACCCTCATGTAGAGGGCGCGCTGAATGGGTGGCACACTCATATGGAGGGCATGCTGAATGTCTGGGGTCCTCATATGCAGCGCCTGCCAAATGGCCGGTGCCTTTATGTGTGATGCTGGAGGAAGCAGGGTATGGTTGAGGAGGTTGAAGAAGGTATGGTTGAGGAGCAGGGTGTGGTTGAGGAGCAGGGTGAGACTGAGGTTGAGCACCAGGGGCCCCATATTGGGCACTACCGGAATGCAGGCCCTGCGAGTAAGACCGTCCTGCTGTGTGCGAGGTCTGGAAGTAATTTGCAGCATAGTCAACTCCCAGATGGGACAACACTGTCTTCAGAGACAGTGCTGGGTTCGAGCCTAGGATGGCGGCAAAGTCCTCGTACCAAGGGAAGTCTTTGACAATTTGTGCTATGAGTTTTGTTAGTTATTAAGCTACGTGAAAATTTAAAAACAAATGCACCGTACAAATTCTGAGCAGATGTCTCATCCTCTGGCATAAAGCCAGCACCCATTGCATGTAATTTATTGTAGCCTTCACAATATCTTTTCCTAAGGCTATAACAAATATGAGTTAGTATGAGAGATTCTGGGGGTGGCTTGCTTACTTGTTGATATGATAATTTGTTGAATCACGAAACTTATCAGGCACTTTTGCATAATGCGCTGCATGCTCTGGATCGTTCTCAAAGACATGTCCTGCGATAACAGCACATACAGATAGTTTGTCTTTGCCAGAGGGCCGATTGCCATCGGTATTCGTTTGCTTCCCATCTGAGTAGAACAGCATGTGGCAGTCAGCTGGGTGGGAGCACAGATGGTTGACCACTCTCTGGGTGTGGGAGAGATCAGCTTGCCACTGAATCACAAGTTTGGGATTGGCATCTAAGTTAGCACTTTGTACTCCTCGACCCCTACTGCCCCTTCCACAAGTAACAGGTCCTTGAGTTGGTTCCATACTGTTGAAGCACTTGAAAGAGAGGTTCTGCAGACCCTTGAGGCGTGCAGAGTGGCAAGGTTGTGGTGGTCAAACGACAGGCATGTTTTTGGAACTCCGACATCATGCCAAGGTCTGCCGCATGTCGAAATGGCGAGTTTTGTTTAACTCTACCCAAGTTTTGTGAACTTAGCCGAGCATTACTGAGCATTACAAAAGTTACTCTGAGTGCTACTATTTAAGTATGCAACATGTAACAGCACTGAATTTTCGACAGCATCAAGAATTCGACAGGCCAGGTTGACTATGAACACTGGACCATCTGATTGAAATACTCTCTGAACTAATTTGTAATACTCTACAAGGTGATTTTCTATGCATACAATATGATTAATGCACCTTGAGTGAAAAAATTTGGTTTGAGTCACAATATTAACATTCAACAAACCCAGGTGTGACCCATGACATGCTACTAATTTCAACCATGGCGTGTGACATGTGACTGTCGAATCGGGTGAAATAATACAGTCTACAGGCAACTACTGACATTAAAATATGTAATTCTATCTACACCTTCGGAAAGATAACTTTTGTCTTGAAAAGATTACAAATGGGCTATGGTAGAGTAGTATAGTAAGTCTATCAGAACACTTTTTTTACAAAAGTCAAGTTTCATAATTTTCATCAGCCAAAAGTGAACTTCGAGTGGAGCTTGTCGGAGTTTTCTATTTGGGTATGCGGCATCTGACAGCCAACTCTGTGATCACTCGAGAATGCCCAAACTCATTATTAATGTAGGACTGCACTGACAATGTGATTTGTACTTCTTAACAGCAAATTCAGCTTGACAGGCATCAAGAACTTTCCTAAGACACTGTGAAAGAACTATGAAGCTGGTTGAATTCCACACCTGATATATCTCCAAGATTTTTGATAAAAGGCACAATCAAGAAGCTCTGGTACAATACGCTTCATGGTGAAGAATGTTCTATCAGCTGTGTTGGGATATTCAAGTGAACATACTCATGCCTGCTGCATGTAGTACACGAGATAGGTAGCTTATATACTTACTTAGATCATAGTCTACTTTGTGTATGGAATTTGTATCAACTGTTGACAGGAATCCATTCTGATACTCATTGTCTTGTACTTCTCACAAGCTGCTGTAATGATGGTCATGGCGCTGGGCTCAAAACCAGGGTTTGTTATACTCACACCAACATCTGAAAGATACCTGCACATGTCTGAGCCACTCTGCATCAGCCAAGTGCACTTCATGTGCACTTGTCCATCCTGTGTCCTGTCCTTCCAAACTAGCCCCACTAGGTGCATAGTTACTTGCTTTCACATTTTCTAACATTTGGACCATGTCCACAGTGCCTCATGTTTTATTACCTGGATTCTCAGATCCAAAATATCACTACTATCTTTGCTTATAGTATTCCGGATTTCCATGTACTTATTTAAATACTCTGTAGTGACTCATAGTAGATCATCATTCAGTAGAGGGGAGTTGTTCTCTGAAACTGTGGATCACTCAGAATATTCTTGTAGTTCTTAGTTGACATTGTGAAATATTGTCATTCATTTACTGTCACAATCTGCCATTTGTTATACTCAGTGATACTGCTCGCAATCCGACACTCATTTCATAGTTTCTGACCTAGCTTTGTGAAGTCTAAAAGTCTGAAATCTCGGACATTGTACTTTGGCATTGGACATTGATCTACCTAAATATTGTTGTCTAGGTAGTACCATTTCTGCTGAGCCCAGCAGAGATTTACTTTCTACAACACACTGTGGAAACCTGTGAGAATTTGATCAGTTACATCACTGTAATCTCTATAGTTGCTTCATCATCCAACTTGCTCTCATTATTTGATACCTCAGCTATATTACCATCTAATATGAGCTGAATGACAATGTGTCACAAGTACCCTTAACAAACCATTATTCTTTCTTGAATCTTCCTAAGCGCCAATACACAGCGCCTAAGTCAAACCCTAACCCTATAGTAAAAGTGTCTACCACTTCCGAGATTCCCTTAGCGCCCACAACATGTGTCTTTGATGTGACTGATGAAGAAGACGAGTTCTTTGATTGTGAATAGATTAGATAAGATACAATAAGATAAGATAGGATCATGTGATACTTCTTTAATATTCTATGATGTTCTATGGTACAATTCCCTTTTCCTTGTTATGATTGGCTAGTAGTTGTATCTCAGTTTCAATCTCAGTTTCAATAGTTGTATATAGGTAGCACGTCTTGGTCGATAGTTCCTTAGTTCAAACCTCTTGTATCTACATCATTGTAGCAATCCAAGATGTCCTTGCTTATTCCTCTTGTTGTGATAACCTTAGTCCGAGTCCTAGTCTCTGCCCAGCATTAATTCATTATTAAGTTGTGACATTAGGTTTGAACTATAGGAGACTCCAACTCTCGCATACCGCTCGCATCTACCATCTCTCTCTAGGTGATTTGTTGAGCAGCTCGCCAACAAACCTCCTAGAAAGCCATTACACATTTTCTTTGCCCGGTCTAAACAACCGCAACCA